AGATAGATAGATAGATAGATAGATAGATAGATAGATAGATAGATAGAATTCTGAAGGAGAGTCATACCGGACTTGAAACGTTTCTCTCTCCACAGATGCTACCAGATCTGTTGAGTTTCTCCAGCACTTTCTGCTTTTGTTTCAGATCTCTAGCATATATAGTTCTTTGTATTATTATAGATAGACACACAGACAGATAGATAGACAGAAAGAAAGAGAGGAGGAAAGAAAGAAAGGAAGAAAGAAATGCCGCTGAGGAAAGCCTCCCACCACTGCTCCACGGTGCTTGGTTTCTGACAAATCCCACTGGATTTTATTGTGCGGCGACAATTCTTTCATATTGATTTTCTCATTTGTCTAATTTAACATTTTCGGTTCTGTTTCTACCATTAATGTGGACAAAATCTCATGTGCGTCCGTCTGCTCCACGCTCAGTCTCGAGCCAAATGTTTTCCGACTTGGGAAGAGATGGGATGTAATTGGGCCCTCATTTGGTCACAACACTTTTAATGTGATTTTAAATGTACAGGCGGAGGCTGATTAATCCTCTCAATCCATTCTTAAAAGAGGAACTAGTCTATCGTGGTTAGATTATTAGGGGGGTCCTGGTTTGTACAATTCAGGAGTAACATGGTCAGTGCGATTTGAAGCATCGATTGATTTGCCCAACTAAATGCGTTCCTTTTTTAAGATGCTGCTGGGGATCAATTCGTATATGTTTATATATAATGTGAACAGACGAATTGGGAGTACGATTCCCTCAAAAGATTTCACAATGAATATTTGCTGAGCCGCTTTGTTTATTCTTACTAATTTGAAAAGGACATAATTTGTAAAATATGCACAGTGCAGCACTTGGATTGTTTCTAGGTTGGTCTCAGTATCCGTGGCCTAATGTTTAAAACTAGAGTGAGTATTTATTTTTGTTAAACTTCAGGCAGAAGCGGGTTCTCTCCGGCAGCAACGTCAATTCGAGCAATATCCGTGATTTCAGTGGTAGGTTTTCAGCCGCTGACACGAGCTGGGCCCGGCGGGTTAGCTGTTCAGTAGGGTATTGGTTTATTTTTTTTTGCGGAAAAGCCTAAAGGAAGGGTCAAGGCCTTCAAACCACTAAGGTTGGAAAGAATCAAGGAGACTACACATAGCAGGGATCCTGGGTTTTAATAGGCTGCGGGTTTGTAGAAAATAAGTTAATAAGAAAATAAGTGAGGAAATAAAAGAGGTATTAGACATCTAGGAAGAATGAATCAGAATATTCACCAGTAAAAAGAGGGGAGAGGGGAGCTGGGCGAGTGAGTGATGGGCTTGCAGAACGGAATACGTACTGCATGTTACGAAATATTTAAAAGAGTTGCATTTATAGGACCCCTCTTGTGACCTCAGGACGTTCAAAGCTCTTTACAGCCAATGAAGCAGTTTTGAAATTTAGTCATTTCAAAGATAGGGAAACAGACTCCGTATTATACGGTCACAGTAACTAGAATATCTTCCTAGCTTCAGCCGCTACTGTCAGCGAGAGCTTCTTAAAGAGTCTAGGACAGACAAACGTTAGAAAGCCAAAGAACAAACAAGTCTACTGAATATCAGAAATAAGAATGTTCAAATAATCTAATTGAAAACAGTCAGAATTTCTCAGACGAGGGATATCACTTCTTTGTCATGGTTCTTAGTCTTTATTGCCTAGGATTAATTAATATACGTGACTCTTAAGAGCAAGATAAAATACCTTACCCCGCCACTCAATCGTTCCTAAGAATAAACTAGTTATTGATTCAGTGTCGGATTATCTCGCTCCTGTACAACAATGATACAACAATGGACAGTTTTGCGTAGGGTATTCTTGGCCTGTGCTTTACTTAGGGCGAGTCCCATAGATGAGTGTAGATTTACAAAACAGATTGAACGGGTTATCATATAAACTAAAATACAATTCCCACGCCCTGGCGCTGTATACGTTATCTCAAATTGAATTGAGAGTATAAAATACACGATAGAAACAATGCGACTACAAAAAAAATGCAACTACGAATTTAAAGTATTGAATATCTCCCGAAAGTGGCAGAAGAAATTCAGATCTCCTGTACAATATGATACCTGAACTTGAGGTAATGTATGTGTTTACATCTCATTCGAATCAATTTGTCAGCGATATTTCAGCATAAACGTGTAAGGTGAGGTCCATCTCCAATAACACTTTCTTCGGCCACTCAGGACAAAGCAGCCCACTTGACTGGCATCCCATCCACCACCTTAAACACTTCCTTCACCGCCGATGCACGGTGGGAGCAGGGTATAGATCAACTGCGGTGATTCACCAACGCCCCTGGGACAGCAACTTTCCAATCCACGACTTCCACCACCTTGAAGGACAAGGGCGAAAGATGCATGGAAACACCACCACTAGCTGCAAGTTCCTCTCCAATCCACTCAGCATCTTGACTTGGAAGGAAATATATCACTGTTCCTTCACGGTCGCTGGGTAAAAATTCCGAAAAGCTCTATGTATGTCCTTACAAGTGGTTCAAGAGGTAGCTCACCACTGCCCACTGCAGGGCAATTAGGGATGGGCACTCACTGCTGGCCTACCCAGTCATGTCAATATCCCATGAATATATTTTCTTTAAACAACTGCTTTAGTGACCATGCCGTTTTGCAAACCACCTCTCTACTGGGTTATTTACTGGGTTTGTTAATCACATCTATTCACCAAAGAACCGATGGAGCAAAGTAATAGAAAATTGTAATGTGTAACAAATGGAAAATTCACTTGTCTCGCATTTCAGGCTGTGAAGCAATACAGAACCAAAATCAAACTGAGCACTGACAATTTTTACCTTAAACAAACATAATACAAATTTATAGTATATTGGATTCGGTAGATTTTTTTTTTAAATGCTCGCCCTGTGGCTTTTAGAATTGTCTGTTACTCAGATGCAGAGATTGTGGGTACAGTCATTGACAAGTACAGTCGACAATAGCTCATCAATTCCCGAACATGGGGTATCTCTTAGATTTTTTTTATGCTGATGCTTACATAAATTCTATTGATCAATTAGTTTTTGTATTTCCTAGGTCTCAAGTACATTGCAATAAAACTAACGTTGAATTAAATGTATAATACCTGTGAATGTATCAATGAACGGAGCAACGTTACCCATTTTCTTTCTGTTATTTCTCATTCTGCTGCCTGCATAGACAAGGAACAAGTTTAGTGTTGTTCCTCGCTTTTGTATATTGCACAGAAAACTACCGGGGAAATGAAACACGACTTAGATGGTGTTGCAAAG